ACCATCAAAAGGAATAATCTATGTGCCATTGGAATTCCAGAACAGGAAGAGAAAAAGAAAACCACTGAGAAAATTGTCCAAGATTTGTTGGAAGAGAACTTCCCTGATATGATGAAAGATGAAAATATGTACATTCAGGAATTCCAACGAACCCCAAACAGGATAGACCCCAAAAGATAATTACCAAGGCATATCATTATCAAACTCACCAAAACCAAAAACAAAGAATCATGAGAATAGCACAGAAAAACAAAAAAGTTACCTACAAGGGGAAACCAATAAGACTAAGCTCAGATTTCTCAGCGGAAACCATGCAGTGAGAAGACAATAGGGTGGTGTATATAAAACCCTGAGAGAGAAAAATTTCCAACCAAGAATTATGTACCCAGCAAAATTGTCCCTCAAATATGATGGTGAAATTAGGACATTTCCAGATAAGCAGAAATTAAGGGAATGTGTTAAAACCAGACCAACCTTACAAGAGATGCTAAAGGGAGCCCTTTGAACAGAGAAGCAACAACAGCCAACAACAAGTGACCATTAATACGCTGATGATATAACCCAGAAACCAACCCAGCTATGAAAGTATCCAAAGTAAATAAGCCTACAAGATCGTAAAGAGGAACCAGAGACATCAATTGACAAATGAAGACAACTACAAACCAAAAAGAGGGAAAAAGTGGTGTTATTACAGAACTTCTAGATGGTAGGGATGTCAAGACAACTATAAGATAGAACAGACAGTTCTAAACTTGGGAAGAAAACTATAAATCACAGGGTAACCTCAAAGAAAAATGACGAACCTTCACATCAAAACAAAAAAGAGGACCAGCACAGATATTTAGCAAATACTAAAACAATAACAACAAAGGAAGTGATAACACGATTCATAAACAAAATGAGCTCAGAATAGAAAATGATATGGAACAAAGAAATCAATACCATGAGAAAGCACATAACAAAAACGACAGCAACAAATTCCTATTTGCTGATAATTACATATCTAGCAAGGGACTTATCTCTAAGATTTATAGAAAACTCCAATGCCTCAACACCAAAGGAGTTAACAAACCAATTGAAAAATGGGCAGAAGACATGATTAGACACTTCACCAAGGGGGATATTCAGGTGGTCAGCTAATACATAAAGAGATCCTCACAATCATTGGCCATCAGAGAGATGCAAATCAAAACAACAATGAAATACCCTCTCACCCCAGCACTGATGGCAAGATTCAACGAGACAGAAAATAACAAATACTGGTGGGAATGTGGAGAGATTGGGACTCTCATACATTGCTTGTGGGACTGTGAAGTGATACAGCCACTGTGGAAAGCAATCTGGAAATTCCTTAGAAAGGTGGAATTGGAGATACCACTTGACCCAGCAATCCCATTACTAGATATATACCCTAGAGAGGTGAGAGCCAGGACAGGAACAGATATATGCACACTCATGTTCATCGCAGCACTATTTACAATAGCAAAAAGATGGAAACAATCTACGTACCCATCAGCAGAAGAGTAGATGACCAAACTATGGTCCATACACATACTGGAATGCTATGCATCACTAAAGAATAATGCAGAGTCTGCAAAACACCACATAATATGGATGAACTTGGAGGACATTATGTTGAGTGAAAAAAGTCAATCACAGAAGGACAAATATAGTATTAGGTCATTGTTGTGGAGGTTCAAGGAAAGGTTTATATATGGAGGAGAACTTTCTTTGTTGGTTGCTAGGGGTGGGAGAAGAGGGGAGGGAACACTGCAAAAAAAAAAAAAAAAAAACATGCATTGACCTGTGTCACTTTAGTTTTGTGTATTTCACTGTACATGAATTATATTTCAATAAAATGCATTTGGGGAAAAAAAAGCTACTAGATTGTTAGGACAAATAGTAAGTTGTTTGAGCTCACCTACTTAATAAGTGAAACTGTTAAGGTTCTTCTTCTTTTTTTTTTTTCTGGTTAGTGGTGGTATGGAAAAGAATTACTGAGACCTTTAAGGTAAAGGTATCATGAAATGAGAAAGTCTGGGAACTTACTATATGTTATTTAAGGTACATAAGTGAGTTGTAAAAGTAGAAAAATATAGACTTAAGTATATTGCTTTTCTCTGAGAGGGGAAGGGAGGAGAGTTAAATAAAAGACTGGTGTCATTCATTACTTTTGCAACATTTTACTTCTTTCCATTTTAACTTCTTGGCTTCTGATTTTTTAAAACATACTAAATTTTGGTAGTTTGTCATGAATTAAGACAGAGAATTGTAGTGTTTAGAAGTAGTATTCTAGAATCCTATCTCCATGACCTTATGACTTAATATCTCTTATATTTCAGTTTCCTCATCTGGAAAACAAGAATAATAACAGTACTGAAATGAATTTCGTATTTGTTTATTATTATATTACTCTTTGTTTTGGTATACTTTTAAAATGTTTTATAATTAAAACATTTAAGAATTACAGTATACCAAAATAATTTTGAAGATGTCTTAGAATTTGTTTTAATGATGTTTGACATGAATGTCATATCACAAGCTTTCTTTGTAGCAATTATGTGTGGACTTCTTACCTTCATGATAAAAGTTGTTTTGTGTTTTGCTAGGAAAAAAATCCATGTCATGGCTATAGAAGGAACAAAGTTGAAATAATATATAATTCTGAAAAGGTCCCAACAGTTTATTTCTTAAATATAGCTGTTAACACACAAATTTATACTAATTCTTATTTCCTTTCTTCTTCTTCTTTCTAATGAGATGCCAACATTGAAAACTACTCACAGAATGTAGTTCTACAAATTGACACCCGAATTTCTTCTTTGAAACAATTTGAACCTATTTGCAAATTTCATCGGATAGAAGCCTTTAATGATGAAATGATAACATTTCAAAGTGCTATGGAAGGTTTACCTTACACAGAGAAGCCAGAATTACAAAGTCACATGTGTAATTATGACAAAGACAGCAATATAAACAAAGATTTGTATGAGGAAGAAAATCCAGGGGGAATGAGCATTTCCACAAATAAAGACCTACTTGCTAATGAGTTTGTCAGTGAACCTTCTAGAAGTCTGCCTCTAATGCACTGCTGTGGAGAGAAACTGAGTTTCATGGAAAAATCACAGGCTCAAAGTACTGCCAAGGAACCTGCTCCCAATTTTATTCGACATCAAAACTTCTTGCATGAGGAAATTTTTTACAGTGATGCTGAGGAACCATTTGATAAAGAGGATAGCTTTAACCTGCTTGATCTCAGAGCTAACTATCAAACAGAGGTAAATTTTTGATAATCAGTAAAGCCTGTGGTGTATTAAAGAATGTGTTTTTTAAAAAATACGTGTATCATCTGAGACTTTTGGGAAAAAAAAACAAGACACTGCCATCGAGTCAATTCCGATTTTTCCAGGTGATGTTAAATCAAGGTAATCAGTACAAGTGACATTCCTTTTCTGAAATCTGAGAATCCATTCTGAGGTCATAACCTTGTCAGAAACACATTTTTTCTAATAAAACCTGGTCTAGACTTAAGGACTAGTAGTACCAGATGCTCAATTTCTTTGAGCATCAGAACTGTATTGCTCATCTTTATCTACATGGTGCCTTCAATAAAATAAGCTCTTATATTTGCTGAATCAAACTGGCTGCAGAGAGGAAGGAGTACAGATAGATTAAGTAAGTTATATGACAAGAAAGGTTAGGATTTTTCTATCATGTTGGACTTCTATCAAGAAGCAAAAATTATTTTCCTACCAAAGTGAAAAAAGTCTGTTTTCTTGATTTACTGAAGAGCCAACAGTATAAATTACATGTCTGAGAAAAAATAGATTGCAGTATGGACAAGTATCTATAATCCAAGACTAACATAAATTACAAATTTTCATTGTCAATAAGATGTAAAACACTGTGGCTGTTGTGTTCTTAAGTAAGAGTAGTTTTTCCTTCATTTATTTGAAGGTACAGGGTAACATCTAAAAGAGAACTTTATTTCCCTTTTTTGTTTGATTAGGGCTTCTCAGGATTATTCCTTCCTCTTTTCATTGTGTTTTATTTGATTTAGTCAGTCAGTAAATACTTTAAGGCACCTACTCTGTACCAGGTCCTGTGCTGTGTATTAGTTGTGGCTGGTTAAAAAACAAACAAAATGATGTGTTTTCTTGTCCTCATAAAGGTAACACTCTAGTAGAGTAGATAGACATTAACCAAATAATCATACAAATAAATGTATATTTGCAACTATGATAAGTACTGTGAATAAAAGTTATATGTACGGTGGGAGTCTATAATACGGATACAGGCAGTCCCTTAGTTATGAACATTTGACTTATGTACAGCCTGTAACTATGAGCCACCTCCCCCATGAAGCCTATTGTATTAAAAATTCAGGGTACACACAATGGTTTGTAATAACAAATAGGCACTACTTTGCGAAGCGAACTGCATCAAGACATTATTGTTCTTACTGTATTATTTAAAGATGTTTTAGTGTATCTGGAAGTGTGTAATGATTTTTATGCATAGAAACTCTTCCTCAGTTGTATTTTGAGGGCCTTCCAACCTAAGGACCTCATCTTCTGAAACTATATCAAACAGTGTTTCATTGGTATTCATAAGGTTTTCTAGTAATCTATCAGACAGTGTTTCACTGCTCTTCATAAGATGTTCAGTAGCCACTTATTCACAAGTGGACCACCATGTCCTTCTTCCTAGTCTGTCTTAGTCTGGAAGCTCCACTGAAACCTGTCCAGCATGGGTGACCCTGCTGATATGTGAAATACCAGTGGCATAGTTTCCAGCATCACAGCAACATGAAAGCCATCACAGTGTGCAAACTGACAGACAAATGGTAGCCTTAGTATATAGTATACTATATACTAAGACAGCATTTGACTAAGTGATGTTAGATATGAACCATGCCTAACTGTCCCAGCTCATGTATATATTCAACTTAAAAGAAGACGTAGGAATGGAACTTGTTTTTAATGCAGGGACTGCCTGTATTGCCCTGCTCAGGGAGTTTGGAGAAGACTTCCCTGAAGAAGCAATAATTAAGTGGAGCTCTAAAGGATGATAGGAGTTAATTAGGTAGTGGTGCATAAGAGGGCATTCCATGCAGAAGAAAAATGTGCAGGAGCCCTGTGGGTACAGGAAGCATGGAACCTACTAGGACCTAAAGAAAGACCAGTAACCCTGGATTAGAGTGAGTAAGTGGGATGTAGTAGTTAAGCCTGGTGAGATAACATGGATCAGTTACCAAGACCAGATATTAGGGTCTTGTACATCTCGATAAAGATAATTGTCTTTATTCTAAACAATGAAAAACCATTAAAATACATGAATTCAGTATCTTTACATTTCAGAAGTGCAGTCCACTCCTAAAGATATTTTTTACTGGTTTTTGTTGTCATATATATTATAATGTATGGTCCTTTTTCAAACCCTGCAAAACCTGTATTATCATCATAAAGTCAATCATAAGGCATCTTCCTCTGGTATTCTAATGTTTATAGGATTCATAGCATGGTGAAGGAATGGTTTAAATGTGGAATTAAAAATAAAAGCTTTATTCAAAGAGACTATAGAGTAATAGATAAATATATTGGTTTTAATTCACTTGAAGTCAAATAATGCATCTTATATTGCATTCAGAAAAGTTTTCAATCATAGAAAATGGTGAGAGAGAGCACCAAAAGTTTAATTATTTATTAGTAAAAGTATACATGGTACCTCACTTTATCATGTACCTACTATTTGTGCTGTCAGAATGTTAGTCATTTTTAGAAAATTCCTGCAAATAGGTATTATTATTGTTGTTTTATAGCTGTGCAGACTAAACTTGGGATATGACTCCAAAGCTCACAATCTTTCTATTCATTCTCACTTACTTTATTTACTATAATTTACAGACTGCAGTTGCACCAAATGAAATACAGAACTATGGGGAGACTCCTGAGGCAATTTGTTACCAAAATGAGGTCAGAGTGGGGGACGAGGAAAGTACAGAGATTTTCTCAACTTGGTCCCCTGGAGACATTTCCTGGAGTGGTGGAGGATCCAATGCTTATCTCAAGACCTTTGACCCGGAGCAACGCTTTGAAAGCTTACAACCTCTGGCAGAAGATACAGCTTTAAATGAAGTCATAGGGAAATTAAAACATATCAACAAACAGCAACAAACTCGAATCCAAGACCTACAGTGTCGTAACACATATTTAGAGATGAAGGTTAAAGAATTACAGATGAATATTACCAGAAAGCAAGTGTTGAGTGACATCTTTAATAAGCTACAAGAGCATATCGAAAAATTAATTGAAGACAAATACAAAGTAATCCTAGAGAAGAGTGATTCTGACAGAACATTGAAAAATGTGCAAGCGATTTTATCTAACACGCAAAAACATCTTCAAAAATCTAGAAAGGAAAATACAACTTTACAGCAAGAGCTTAAGAAGATCAAGGTGAACTATGTTCATCTACAGGAAAGATACAGGACAGAAATTCAGCAAAAAAATAAATATATAAGTCAGTGCATCGAGATGGACAAAACCTTAAATAAGAAAGAAGAGGAAACAGAGAGACTGCAGCAAGTCAAAGCAGGATTGGAAACGACCACTGCTTCCACTCTGGACTTGTTGAAAAGGGAAAAAGAGACCAGAGGACAAGAACTCCTGTCTTTACAGGAGGAATTCCAGAAACATGAGAAGCAAAACCTTCAAGAAAGACAGAAGCTGAAATCTCGTATTGATACATTGATTGCTCAAGTTAAAAAATTGCAATTTATCTCTGAAAATGAAAGGGCGAAGAATATTAAACTTCAGCAGCAGATCTATGAAGTGAAAACTGAAAATGCAAAACTGCAGCAGCAGGTTACAAAGTGTAAAGAGCAAAATTACATCCCTAAACTTGAGATAATTGAGTTAAAGGAGCAATCAGAGGAGGTTATGGAGCCGTATATTACAAAGGTATTGATGCAAATCAGAATCTCTAATGTAAAATTTCAGGAGTTCCTAATACTCTAGTCAAGCATATTTAGATTCCTATAAACTAGATAATTTATATTGATTAATATAAATACAGGGAGCTCTGGTAGTGTAGTGCCTAAGACACTTGCCTGCTAACCAGAAGGCTAGTGGTTCAAACCCACCAGCCACTCCTGGGAAGGAAGGTTGGGTAATCTACTTCCATAGTTATACCACCTCGGAAACCCAAGGAGAGGTCACTATGAGTTGGGTCTCTGACACGACGGAACATAACAACAACATTATAAATGCATGATATACATCGTGACCTCATGTTTTTGCATCTTTCACATTTTAGTCCTAAAACACAGGATTTATCTGATTGGTGTCATCAAACTGGCTTTATAGTTCGTTCTTTGTGTCAGGATTTCAAATATTATCATATGGCATTGCATATATGTATATTTTTTTATTTCCGGAAAGACGGTAACAAAAAATGAAAAAGACGTAGACTAGAAAATGCACCACAGGTTTGGAGAAGTTTCTTTCAGTTCATGGGTACTTACATTAAAGAAAGCCATTTCTGGCTTCTAGTAATTATTTTGGTAGAAATGACAACCTGGGAATGCTGTGGGTGCCATGGCCAATTATCTGAAGCAACTCCCACAAGTAACCTTTGAGAAAGGATTTGTGAGTGTGGATCTCAGCAACCCCCCACTCCATACCATTTCTGCCTATTCAACAATAAAACTAAATAACACAAACTATTACTTCATATAGGGAGCTCTGGTAGCATAGTGCCTAAGGCACTTGACTGCCTCAGAAACCCAAGGAGAGGTCGCTATGAGTCGGGGCCGACTCAACGGCACATAACAACAACAGCATTACTTCATATATTAAATGTGTAAAATTATAATGCATCTAAAAATTTCATCAGAAACTCATATCAATATGTTTAGACAGGCTGTAATTATTTTATTATCTGCTGTTAGTCCAAATGGCTTTCTTGGCAGCCAAGAACTTGGAAGGGAGTCCTGGAAGTGACAATTTTCACAAGGTAGAACAAATCTACGCAATTTTGTAGACCTGCATTACAATACGTATGTTGTTGTTATGTGCCATCGAGTCGGCCCCGACTCATAGCGACTCCTCCTTGGGTTTCTGAGACTGCATCACTACAGAAGTAGGATTGCCCAACTTTCCTTCAGAGGAGTGGCTGGTGGGTTTGAACCACCAGGCTTCTGGTCAGCAGTCAAGTGCCTTAGGCACTATCCTACCAGAGCTCCTATAATACGTATAGTAAAATCTTATTAACTATGATTTAGACAGAAGTCTAATCTGAATTAGAAAAATGTAGACTTTTTTTTCAGATTCAGATTCAATTTTGTTATAATAACTTGAATTTAGGTAATATGTTGCCTTGAAGATGTCCTTAATGGGCCTACTTTATCAATCTGTAATTGGCTTAAGTATTGTTTGTAAGTAAATGATTCTGTTCTTAAGAATTCTTAGTACATCAGAGGGGCAGCATTCACATAGAGGGAAACCTGGACAAACAGAAATGTGTAGTTAAGATGGCCACAGGGAGAAGGTAGTCACAGGGACATGAGGGGAGGAGAGTTTTTTACACTTTTTTATGGTTGAGGATGGTAATGGGTCATGAAACCAAGTGTGCATGAACTGTTAAATGTAAAACAAATTTGCTTTGTAAATTTGCACCCGAAGTACAATAATTTTTTCATTTAAAAAAAATTCTTAGTGATATAGTTAATAGCATTCTATTGTTCTCTTCTGTTTTAAAAGAACATTCTGGGCTTTACTTAAGCTAGAATGAAAAATATTTGCCAAAATGTAAAAGGGTGTAACTTAAATATTTTTTTGTTTTGAAAAATATGGTAACTTCTTTTATTAAACACTTGTTATTTACTTTGATGTGTAATGGGTTTAATGTTGTTATCTGAACCAATTAGCAAACAAATATTTTTAAATTTTCTCAGTTATAATTTCTAATAAGTAAATATCAGTAGGTATAACCCACATGAACAAAAGCTTTTTGGGGTCCTTGATAATTTTTAAGAGTATAAAGAAATCCTCAGATCAAAAAGTTTGAGAACCACTGATCAAGGTTTTTAAAGGTTTAGATTTTTATTCAGAATTTTACTTAAAAGGTAATCTCGGTTCTTAGTCTTTACTGTAACAAATTTAATTTATGTGCATATAGGATCTAAAGATGATACATCCTAATTTGTTTCTGAACTGTTCACCTTGTGAAGAAGAGAGCCTAAGTTCTCCTGATGAGGAAAAAACTCAGCTGGCCCCCAAAATTCACAATCTGCTGACTCTGATGGTAGGACTTCTCACATGCCAGGTAATAAGAAAATTTAGATTTTTTTATTAGAGGGTGTCTTAGCTGCTATAACAGAAGTACTACAAGTGGGTGGATTTAAGACATAGAAATTTATTTTCTCACAGTGCTGGAGACTGGAAGTCCAAATGCAAGGGGCTGATTCTAGGGGAAGGCTTTCCCTCACTTGGCTGTAGGGGAAGGTCCTTGCTCCTTGGTTGTTTGGTGATCTTCATATGATATGGCATCTATTTTCCTCCAGGTCTTTCTTTCTTTCATTTTTTTTTTTTTTTTTGGCTTGTTTTCTTATTTAAACTTTTTTATATCTCAATGATTTAAGACACATCCTATATTAATACTGTCTCATTGACATAACAAAGAAAGCCTGTTCGCAAATGAGTTATAACCACTATAGGGGTTAGGATTTTTACAGTACATATTCTTGGGGACAAAATTCAATCCATAATGGGGGGAAGAAATGTCAGAGTTGGACTAACCCAAGAGAGAGGCAATAAAAGATGACTGAATTAAGTTTTGGAAGAAAGAAAAAGAAGACAAAATAAAGACCCCTAAATCTAGCCCTTCCTCTCTCCTACTGCTTTTTTCTGTTTATTTTTCTTCAACACCTAAATCCCACAAGGCTACAGTAATATAGATAACAAACTTTAAAAAACAGATATATCGAGCAATATATATTCATTTTCCTGACCAGTTGCCATGAAGTCAGTTATGACTTATGGCGATCCCATGTGTGTCAGAGTACAGCTATACTCAATGGAATTTTCAGTGGCTGATTTTTTAGGAGTAGATTGTCAGGCCTTTCTTTCAAGGCACTTCTGAGTGGACTCAGACCTCCAGCCGTTCTTCACATTAACTGTTTGCACCAACCACAGACTCCCCAAATTTCAGGAAAACTCAGAGCAATAGTTCTTGTACTCTGGGTCAGTCTACCCCTTGTTATTAACTATTGTTCACTCTTAATGAGTTGTTTATCTAGTCTAAAATATAGCTTTTTGGGGGAGAAGGAATGTGGAATTGTGTACAACAGAATAAAACATGACATTAGGGTCAAATGAATTTAACTGCTGGCTTCACCATTTCCCAGCTGTGTGAACTTAGTCAAGTAACAAACTTTCTGAGAGTTAGTTTCCTTATCTTAAATAGGGGAAATGGCACTTGCTGCCAAGGGAGGTGACAAGCACTACATTTAGTGTGAGAATATATTAAAGGGCATGGTCCTCAAATATGTTCTTTCTTTCTGTTACTGTACATTTCTTTGTTCTATGTACACTCACCAGAGCTGTAACTTGGGGACCTGGGTTTACAATGTTCCCCAACCAGCACAAATCCTTTTTCTGTTTTGTTTTAGCTACAATTTGTTGAACAGTAGCCTTTATTGAATGCTGGAAGTGGGACTAAACCATTCGCAGAGATCACACAATGTTGCCCACAGGCTATACCCACCTAAAGTTTATTTTTAAATATTTGAATTTGAATGGGCACAGACTCACGTTTGCAACAAAATTTTCTGCTCCCCCTTGCCCATCCAAACATTTGTTTACTTATTTACCATATTTGGTTGGTTTTCTCCTGTTTCCTTGGGGACTGCTTTTCTTTCTCAGTCTTCTTTCCTAGCTGTTGCTTCTCTACCAGATCTCTCAATGGTGCATGTGGTCTTAGTAGATCTCATGCCAACCCAAACAAGTCTTAATTGCCTGCATATACCTACCTCAATAGAACACCAACCTTCAAGATCAGAGACTTGATATGTCCTGCTAATTGTATGCCCAGTTCCTGTACCTAATGCAGGGTTCAGCTCATAATAGGCACTCAGTAAAAATTTGCTGATTACCTGTTCTGTCCTTGGAGGCATTTGAATTTTTAGTCACTGTTTCTCATGAATTATCTCATTTAATTTAATTTTTACATCTTTGTTTACATTTTAGGGTATTTATTTTTTACTTATTTTTTTAATACCAAAAAAAAAAAAAAAAACAGATTAGAATGGTTGGGTTACTTATCCAAAGTCTCACGTATGATCAACAGGCAGAACTCAGACACAAACACAGGCAGCCTGGCATCAGTGCACACACTTAGACCCCTAGATTATGTTGATACAAGTACCATCATTCTAGGTGAACCAGTTGCTGGCAAGTTGATTTTGATTCATGGCGTTTCCAGGTGTTACAGAGTAGAAACCACAGGGTTTTCTTGTCTGTGATCTTTATAGAAGCATATTGTCAATCCTTTCTTCCACAGTGCCTCTGGGTGGGTTCAAACAGCCAACATTTAGGGTAGTGGTTGAGTGTGAACCATTTTCACTAGCCAAAGACCTTACATATTAAGCATTTTTTAAATAGCTAGCATTTCAGTTTTGTTGAGGGTATCTTATTGTTCTGGTATCAGACAACTTTTATTTTGGATATATAACAATTTGTCTAAAACATGAATTTGTAAACTGACTAGGCTAAGGGGCGAGGTATACATATGAATTTATAAGCATGCATAGTTATTATAGTTATTATAGGTATTAACTAATCTTTCCCAATATCAATTGATATACAAATGGATCTATATGAAGTCTTTCATTAATAACCCTTCATTAAATGTGAGGAATAATTGAAGAATTGAGTTCAATATTATTTTACCTCCTTTGGTTGGTTACTTACTATGGAAGAGATATTTATTTTATTTATGTTTTATTCTTCCTCCTTTTAGCTTTACTGAAAACTTTTAATCTAGTTTCTTAAACTATTACTCTTAGGACATCACCCATCCTGGTACTGAACATTTCAAAGACAGTGAAAAAATTAGTGAAATAATGCTGCAAAGATTGAAGTCCTTCTATATTAAAAAGAAAAACTTACACAAAGAGGTATTGTATTTATTCTTCATTCTAAAAATAATATCATTTTTAGTGAAATTTTTTTAAAAAAAGATAACATAGTTGTGTGAAGAAATTCCTAAAATTTGGATATTTTTTAAAGAGTTGTTTTTAGAACCAGGTTAGCTTTGCTATGCCCCTCATTAAGAGCAATATAGTGCAATAGTTGACTTGCTTTATAACTAGTAAGTCTGCATTAGAAAATGTCCTTCAGCTACAAAAAAAAAAAAAGATTTTTTCCATTTTTTGCATTCCACTACTGATTACTGAAGGACAGTTCATTCTGCCATTTCTATCACTGGTGTCACTAGGGTTGTAAAGTCACCCACTGCAAAGTAACTTATGGTGTCACCTCCTCCCCTCCATGGACCTTTTCTCATGCCACACCATATAGAATTCTTACTAATGTTTATTATCAATTTTAATCATAGAATAACATGTGGTAAATTTGGTTATGAATTGCTTAAATGTATTTTGTACACTACATGAATACTAACAAAATTTTTTTTAGTAAAATCTTTCTCGTAGCATAGTGCCTAAGGCACTTGACTGCTAACCAGAAGGCTGGCGGTTCAAACCCACCAGCCACTCCTCAGGAGGAAGGTTGGGCAATCCTACTTCCGTAGTGATACTGCCTCAGAAACCCAAGGAGGGGTCGCTATGAGTCGGGGCCGACTCGACGGCAGATAACAACAACAACAGCCACTCAGCATGAGAAAGATGTGGCAGTCTGCATCCATAAAGATTACAGCCTTGGAAACTCAACAGGGCAATTCTGTCCTATAAGGTCACTATGGCACACAACATAGTGATTTTAAATTTTATCACTTGGAATAATGGAAACATCTAAAACAAATCATTTTACTTCTCAGGTGGAGAAGGTTAGAGGAAAAAGTTCCTGGAATTTCTTCAATTATCATTTTCTTGGTGTAGCAGTACAAAGGTTTAGGCATTTGACTGCTAACCAGAAGGCTGGCAATTCAAACCCACCAGCCACTCCTTGGAAGGAAGACTGGGCAATCTACTTCCGTAAAGATACCGCCTCAGAAACCCAAGCAGGGGTCACTATGAATTGGATTAGACTCAATGGGAGTGAGTTTGTTTTTTTCGTTTTTGTTTTTCCATAATTAGTAAGTTAAATAAGGCAAGTGATGACAGGGTGCTAAATCATGCCATTTTAAATCTGACAGGAATTCAGAAACGACAACTTTCTTTTACTAAAAGAATAAAAACTCATATTTAAATCTGGAATCTTGGATCATAACAATTCAGTTTTATACTTTCAGGAAATTACTTCTCTGAACTGAGTTGGATGGTAAATATAGTGTAGGTTTTCTCAGGAAGGTCATTGTCTCCTAGCTAATCTGTGGAGAAAAGGACTTGAGAGTAACCAGATGTACAGAGAAACTAGAGGCCTCTACTTCTGTAAAAGAGCTCTTAAAAATAAACTCAGTTGGAGGTTAGAGTAGACTTTTACAAAGATACACTTTTAGATATTTATGTTCTTTTAGTATATTTCTATGTAGTTACTGAAATACTGGCAGAGGAAATGATATGATGTCTGTTAATTTTACTCAGTTAAGGGGTATTGAGGAAGGAGGGGAACTGCTGGGGATATAAAGGATACAACATCGGCCATTAGCTATTAATTTTTGCAGCTAGATGACAGGGAGCTGCCATAAATTCAAGTTGGAAGAGGATGTAGATCAAGGGGTGTTTTGGTTACCTTGTACCACTCTGACAAGAATATACCACAAATGGGATGGCCTTAACAAACAGGAGTTTATTCTTACAATTTGGAGGTTGTAAGTCCAAGTTCAAAGTGCCAGGCTCTAGGGGCTGGGTGAAAGCCCCTCAACCTTGGGGTCCAGCTCTGCCTTCTGCTCCTGGCCCACTGGAGCTAGAGGCATTTCTTCACTCAGACAGCTGCTGGCTGCTGAGGCTAAGAAGCCCCAAGGTTGACAAATAAAAGGGCACAGTCCCAATGTTACCAAACCACACGGCAGGCCATTAACTTAAGTCCATTGTAAGTCCCAAGGTCGGCAGAGCATAGCAGGCTGCTGAGCAATGATGCGGCTACATGCAGGGTCCAAGTGTGCCATAGGCTAGAGACCATTCTCAAAGCTTCTTATGTACAAGAAGCAGACCACATCCCAAAGGCACTAGCAGCTACTAGCAGCTACTCAGCTGCTTGTGGTAGATCCCACCATGGAGTTGATTGCCAGTCTCATCGTGGGGAATAGCTACCACCAGCTGCCCAACCACTCAACCAGGCCCAGCCAAGTTGACACACAAACATAACTACCATAAGGGGTGTCATTGCTAATGTCAGACAGATCTTGGCTGAAAGGAGAGAATACCATAAACATGTTTACCTGTGCTTATTGATTACAAAGGCATTTGAAGTAGGACCAAATGTGCATCCCTGCCCAGTGCCTGGTCAGGCCAAAACAGTTTACACTCCAAGTGATTAAGAGGAGAGAAAATTATTTATTGCAAAGTGGCAATGCAAGGAGAAAGGGACCAGTACCCATATCTGACTCCCAGAATGGAGATTGAGTTACAGTTTTTGTAAGTTTCAGGAGAGGGAATTATACATATTCATAAAAACTTCAGGAATTTGGGCGTGAATTAGCTGATGATTGGTTGAAACTTCCTTCACCTTGGTTTAAAGGGACAGTCATTTTTTAATGCAATGTGCTTGCACACTGGATGAGTCACACCGGCTTCCTGTCATCAGCTGATTGGGGCTTAGGCAGAGGGGAGAATGTCAGTTCCCAGCAACTTTGTTTCTGTTTGTCTCACTGCACATGTCCGAGGGCCAAGTTTAATTTTCAAGTTGTCTCCTGAGACACTTGTTGTTGTTGTCAGGGCTGACTCGACGGCACATAACAACAACAACAACAACTCCTGAGACACATTAATGAGTGTACCACCTGTTTCTAGGGGGACAACATAGAAAGAATGTGTAAATTGACCTTTCATTCCATTTAGTTCTTAAGGAACTGAGTTTTATGTTTACTTATTTGTCTCCAATGGAGATCCTATCTGTCTTAACCAGGGTGGGGGAATAGTTGAGCTTTCATCCTATTCAGTTCTTAAGGAACTGAGTTATCACGTTTACTTATCTGTCTTCAACCAGGGATGCAGGCTGAACTTTGACTCCACTCGGTTTCACATTCAGCTATGCAGATCATAACAAATTATGGATAACTCTGCAAAGAATGGGAATTCCATAACATTAATTGTGTTCATGAGGAACCTGTACATAGACCCAAAAGCAATTATTTGAACAGAACAAGGGGATACTGTGTGGTTTAAAATCAGGAAAGATATGTAGCAGGATTGTATCCTATCACCATGCTTATTCAATCTGTATGCTGATCAAACAATCAAAGAAGGTGGACTATATAAAGAAGAATGCAGATTTAATTTAACATTTCTAAGACTGATTTGTTTGTTCTCTGGGAGTCCATGAGATATTCTGTATTCTTCATCAGCAAGACTATTTGAATGCATCAATTCTGTCTTCCTTTTTCATTGCCCTGTCCAGTTTTCACATGCATATGAGGTTATGGGGGGGGGGGGAACATGGCTTGGGTCTGACACATCTTAGACTCAAAGTGACATCTTTACTTTTTTACAACTTCAAAGACATCTTTTCTTAGGGGAACCAGGTTTGCTGGTCTGATAGAGCCTGGTGGAACCACTGAGACTGTGGTCCCTAGCTGCCCTTCAGGTCTGGAATTGAACCCATACCTGTGGCTTCCAGCCAAACAAAAGACAGACATAGGAGTTGAACATTTACCTGAGGTAGATACACTCCTGGAGAGAACAATCATGGGAGAAAGAAG